TGAGACTTGGGTCCTCAAAGCTAATTTAAACTTCGCCTTCTTCTTGAGCCTCATCGACTTATCACCCAAATGTCCTGGTTCTGCTTTTATAGCCGTTCGTTCTCATCCTTTCATTCTTCCCTTCTCTCCTCACTGCTTTAGGTTTGCCCTTTTCCCAGGATTCCTTAGTGACCTTAGGATGGCACTATGCCTTTTGTTTCTCCCTCAATTACCAAATATTTCTTTAAGTGTTAGAATAGTGAATGCTTCCTCTCCATTCTAGATTTCAAACTTTAGATGTTCATATCTATGATGGTTTATTTACTTTTCAAGATTAGGACTTAAAAGATAAAATTGACTTGGAGTATTACAGGAACTTTTTAAAGACCAGCAGTTTATAGTGTATTGGATACCACTTAAAAATGTGTCATGGTCATGTCATCTTGTAATTAAAAGTTTCTACTATTTTTAAAGTACTGCAAGAAGTTTTGAGTCATATACTGAATAATAAAAAATAAAAGCAAACATTTATGCACTTAGGTAAATACTGTGTTCAGATGGAATATACTAAAAACCTACCCCCCCAAAAAATCTGTTAATCCTTTGATTTTTTTTCTTCTCCTCTAGTTTTTCATGCACTGGTTTTGATGAAGTGAAGATTTTAATATGCTTTCCTTTGTGGCCAGCATATCATTGCTTGGCTGGAAGAATTAAGGCCAAGGATACTGGTTGAGTTTCCCAATGGCTCAGTTATCTTCCTGCAAGTCTAAAGTCACAGTCTGTTCTTCAAAACATGGCCAACCATTTCATAAATGTTAGTCATGAGGAAGATGGAGAAGGAGAGTCAGAATGGTTCAGTGGCAATTCACTATAAAATAGGTTAAGGTACCTGGCCCTACTGGTAATGGCTCAAGAATGTATCCTCCCTCATGTACAAATAACTCAGGATTTAATTTATTTTCTTCATTTGTTGCAATTTGCCCCTGTATGACTCTCAACAATGTTAGCTTCTATAACTTTTCATCCTGTCTCTGGTCTTTAAACTAGACAGCTTACTGAACTTATCAAGAGGCGGTGTGTTGGGAGGACAACCATGGTTGGGAGTAAGACCCTTTGCTCTGCTTCTATTACTAGTTAGTTGTCATTAAATTTGAATTGGTAAGTTTCTTAATCTCTAAGTTTCTATTTCTTCCTCTGAAAAAATACCTGCTTTTTATAGTTGTAAGAATTAAATAAAACGATTGTACATAAAGTACCAAGAGCACAGTACATGCATAATGAACACTAATATTCTCCGCTATCTTTTGTGACACACAAATCTAACGAGTTAGTTAGGAAAGTTCCTATAGCTACTATTTAACACCTACTTGTGCCACACCTGCTTTGTGGTGAAACTTCTTATCCAAAGGTCCTGCATCAGAGGATTCAACCAAGCATGGATGAAAAACAGAAAACAATTGCAACTGTATTGAACATGCACAGACTTTTTGGAGGGTGATTTTGCCTACAATACAGTATAGCAATTATTTACATTAGTATTTGCATTGCATTAGGTAATAAAGTAGAAGTACACAGAACGATGTGGGTAGGTTACATGTACTGCACTGTCTTTTATGTATGACTTGCACATTTGAGATTTTTTGGTATCCAAAGGAACCAATCCTAGAACACTTCCCCTCTAGATACTGAGGCATAACCGTGAATATCTTGATTCCTCATGACAAAACCACAAGGTTACTTATAGTTATAACTTCTTTAGAGTCTTAAACAGAGGTAAGTTGCTGCTATCTGTCTGGGATGCATGGCTGTCACGTAGTCACCTTACACAGTAAATTGAGGCTACAGGGGTTTTTCTAGGGAAGTTGTTGTGAAGCATTACACTTTAATGATCACCTGGAGGTGGTGGGGAGAGTGTTTGCTGAAAAGGCGAGGAATGGGCTGGTGGAGTAGCTCAAGTGGTAAGAGTGCCTCTCTACCAAGTGTGAGGCTTGAGTTCAAACCCCAGTGCCACCACCACCAACAAAAAAAGTGACTGAAAAAAGGCCAGGGGTCTGAATCAAGAATTGATTATAAATCCGTATGGGACCCAGGAGAATGTAACTTTCACAAGCTGCTGATGGGATTTAATGCAGTTGGTCCAATAGAGGAAACTTGGATGAAGTTTCAGCACATGCAAGATGCCTTAATTTGGTTCCTTTACCCTATACCCTTAGCTTTGGCTAGGGTGTGAGGCTTGCCTACTCCATGGTGACTAAAAATTAATTTGCAGGGCTGGAGGCACGGCTCAAGCAGTAGAGCTCCTGTTTTGCAAGCATGAAGTCCTGGGTTCCAACCTCAGTACTACAAACAAAAATTAATTTGCACATTCTTCCTCCATTTCTCCAGATACTTATTCACGGATGTTTGCTCTTTAGATTCCTAGCAATTCTTGGTGTCTTTGATGAATCTTCCCTGATTAGGCTCAATTTAACTACACTGTATCAGCAGCAAACAGATGAGAAGGTACAGAAATGGATCTCTTATGAGGCAACTCTTGCCATCAGCCTGTCATAAATTTTATGTATAAACAATTATGTATTTATGTATAAATAAGGATGACACTCATTTTATAAAGTGGTTGTGATGATTACCAGCCTGCCTAGTACATGGTAAGAATTTGTAAATGGTAGCTATTGCTATTTTTGAAATTGATTTTGATTTTGAGTGGGATGCAAATATGAGATAACATATGAAAGCTCTCTTAACTAGCTCTCACATTGTGAGGACAGTCTTCCCCACAAAATAGTCCTTTGGAGAATGGAATGAAAGCTATGAATCAGCACTGCCCAAAGAAAATATAATAGATAATAGGAGGCACATATGTAATTAAATTTTCTAGTATATCCACATAAAAAAGGTGAAATTAATTTTAATAATAGATTTTACTTAACTAAATATAAAAATATAATTTCAACATGTAATTTTTAAAAAATTTCCTTTATTCATATGTGCATACAATGATTGGGTCATTACTCCCCCTCCTTCCCCCCCACCCCCTTGCATCCAAGCAGATACTGTTTTGCTCTGTTTTGCCCTTATCTCTAATTTTGTTGAAGAGAGAGTATAAATATTAATAGGGAGGACCAGGGGTTTTTGCTAGTTGAGGTAAGGATAGCTATATAGGGAGATTCCTAGTTTTGCTTCCATGTACATATTTGTTACTTTCTAAATTGATTCTTCCCGAACTAACTTTTTCTCTAGTTCCTAGTTCCCTTCTCCTATTGGCCTCTGTTGCTTTAAAGTTTCTGCATTAGTTCCTTTGCATTGAAGACATCAAATGCTATCTTTTTTTTTTTTTTTTTTGGGTTTCTTGCCTATCCTCATACCTTCCTTGTGTGCTCTTGCCTTATCATGTAATCAAAGTCCTATCCCCTTGTTGTGTTTGCCCTTGATATAAAGTCCACATATGAGGGAGAACATACAATTTTTGGTCTTCTAGGCCTGGCTAACCTCGCTCAGGATGATGTTCTCCAGTTCCATTCATGTTCAGCATGTAATTAATGCAAAATTATTAATTAAGTATTTTTTCATAGTGAGTGTTTGGTACTTCCAACATACCTCAATTTGGGCAGCCTTGCCCAAAGTTATGTTTAATGAAAATATGTTTAATGGGAGTATGTTATCCTGCTGTTTTAAAATTTAAATAAAAATTAGATAAAACAAAGAAATTCAGAAAATCCAAGTAGCCATACTTCAACTCTTTAATAGTCACAGAGGGCCAGTGGCTACTGTTTTGCACTGGGCAGGTTTGGACTTTCTCTACAATTTGGCTTGCATTTCTAGAGTGTTCATGGATCTCATGAAGTATATTCTTGCTTTATATGCTCCTTGGTTAAGAATTGCTTTTTCCACATTTTACACTGATGTTAGCCAAAAGACCAAGAAGCAATCCTTCCTTTTCACACATTTTTTTTTTTCTTTTTGCGGTACTGGGGCTTGAACTCAGGGCCTTCACTTTGAGCCACTCCACCAGCCCTATTTTTGTGGAAGTTTTTTTGAGATATGATCTCGCAGAACTATTTGCCTAGGCTGGCTTCAAACCACGAGCCTCCTGATTTCTGCCTCTTGAGTAGCTAGCTATAGGACTACAGGTCCTGGCTCCTGGCTTCTTTTATCACATTTTAAAAGCCAATCCAAAGTGTAAAAGTTACTTTTGCTGTATTCACTGAACATTCTCTTTCTCTTTTTTTGCGGGGTTGGGGTTTGAACTCAGGGCCTACACCTTGAGCCACTGCGCCAGTCCTTTTTTGTGAAGGGTTTTTGGAGATAGGGGCTCGTGATCTATTTGCCTGGGCTGGCTTCGAATCCTGATCCTCCTGATGTCTGTCTCCTGTGGATTACAGGCGTGAACTACCGGCGCCTGGCTCACTGAACGTTCTTCGTATTTGCTTATGAAAAAATTCTCGAGTTAAATCAAGCAACTTTACAGAAGTGGGGAAATGAGCTATTGATTTGGACTTAGAAGAATAAGCTGAGGACATAAGCGGTCGAATCACTTTTGGCCACTGCTTTCTAATATTGTCGTCTGGTGTGATGACAGATTTAACTTCTACACACTAGGATTAGCGATTTTCACCTTCCTGACAAGCGAACTTCAGGGTTTGCACTTCTCAGAGTATATAAAGGTCTGTCAAAAACCGAGGCAATAGTTGCTGAACTTGCATAGACAGGGATTTATCCAAAGCCCCATTCTATTTTTAGCAAGAGCAACTGCTGACCAATTCAGAGTTTCTGGAGAGAGCAATGCACCCAGCCACTAAGTAGACACGTGGAAGGCTAGATGTTTGCCAGGTACTGCTCGGAGAATCCCCTAAAACTATTCCCATCGAAACTCTGCGTCGCAATTCTTCCCACGCCGCGCCAGCCAGCCCCAGCAAGCCCAGCTTCTCCGCAGCCTTCTCCGCCCGCGTAGCACAGCCGAGCCTGCCAGGGGGCGTGGTCAGGAGAGGAGGGGCGGGGCTAGGCGCGGAGAGGCGGGGCCGTCCCAGGGGCGGGGCCAGAGCGAGCAGGCGGAAGTTCCCCGCAGGCCTCGGGGAGCGCGCGAGCCCCGCGAGTCACTTGTCAGCGCTCGACTGAGGGAGAGGCAGTGCCGCGCCGCTCCGGAGGTGAGTGGCCGCCTGTTGAGAAGGAGCGTGTCGGGTTCCCCGCGGGGAGGAAAGGAAAAGTGGGGTCACCTCGCGCCGCACGCCGGGAGGGAATCCCAGCTGGGGAGAGGAAGGGGCGCGCCGCGCGCGGTGGCGCCTCAGGTGCTTTTTGGGCGCGGAGCGGCGGAGGTGGGAGAGCCGGGGCCGGGCGGCGCTGGGCAGAGCGTGAGGCGAGAGGGCGGTGCGTGGCGTCCCCGGCCGGAGCCGGGCGCGCCGGGACGCGCGCTGAGGGGCTCCGGGGTGCCGGCGGCTGGGGCAGCGCCTGGCCATCCGGGTACGCCCAGGTCTCCGGGGAGCCGCGGGCGTGTGGGGAGGAAGCGGGGCCGGACGGGAGAGGCGTGTTTTTTGTTTTGTTTGCTCTCACGCTACCGAGCAGAATGTCTTCCTCCCTGCCCCCCAAGTGTTTGCAATTCTGTGTAACCTGTTTTGGGGGAAAAAAGTCGTACCGTGCGGGCAGAAATCCAGTTCGCTTAAAAGCCCAATCTGAAGTGAGCATCGGATTTATTACTCCTCGCTGTCTGGTTGAGGCTTTTTTTTTTTTTAATTTTCGTAAGACGGTGGCACAACCTGACAATAAGTGGAAAAAGGAAGGGCGTATGGGACACAGGGCAGAAGTTGGAAAGAAAGTTGGCGGCTGGGCCGGGCCGGGCAGGTCCAGGGTGTGATCACCAGATCCGACCCGGGTCCGCCCTCCTGACCGAGAGGGCGTCGGGACCCGCCTGCCGCGGAAACTGCGCCTTATTTGGCCAACAGGGCCAGCGCGAGCCTCAGTGGGAAAGTGTCCCGTCGGCAGCTTTCATCCCCTGCCTGGGGCTTCGCTTCTGCAGCGCTACCTCGTGTGTCCCCACTGGGGACAAAGTCTCACGTTGTCCCTCTAGAATACCGGGCTCTCCTGTCATTCTCAGGAGGTTCCCCCCCAAAAAAGATTAAAAAAAAAAAAAGCTGGGATGTAAGTGTGGGAAACAGCCAAGCCTTCCTCCCTATCATTAGAGTAGACATTATTTAAATAGACTTTTCCTAAAAGAAAGAAAAAATCCAGAAATTCCAGAATTTTCTACATGCCTCGAAGCAGAATTGGCTATTTCCTGCCTGCTTGGTATTTTAGGAAGGGTTTGGCGACTAATAACCACATGGAGGAGACCTAGAAAAGGCCAATGAAAATATTGCCATAGCTTAGGGATCAGAATATGTTAAAACACATGAATTTCAAGTGAAGCTGTCTGAAGGACTGGTTTTATTGTGTGGCTGTGGCCTTGTTAGTACTAGAAATTTTAATAACAAATATGAGAAGTCAGGGAGTCCCCTAGTAGATGGAAGTGAAATGTACAGGGGTTGATATATATTTATATATGTAATGCATTTTCTTGTACAAAGAATGGAACCAGAGGGAGTTGACTAGCTTTTACAGTCTTCCATTATCACAGGTTAAAGATTTTAAAGAAGGAGGACAGTGGCTGGTGAAATAGCAGTTGGCTTTACACATTTCTGGTTTGTAAACCCATAGCAAGACTTTTGGTACTTGGCTTTCTTTACTAGTTTTATGAAATTCTTCACTTTTCATAGTGAGAAAGCAGTTAAATTATGTGTAGCTTCTTAGTAACGCCCCAATTTTTTTTTTTCACTTGTATGTGACAGTTTGACGTCTGGTATGTCCTTTGAGTCTTTTTTTAGTGATCTGTGCCTACTCTCTTTACTACTGAAATAATGTTATTGCCTAATAGTTGAGTGAACTGTCTTGCTAGTGGAAAAGCTCACTTATATTACACCTGAATTAATTTTTCTTTATGAACCACGCTGATTTTAAAGTATTGCCTCAAAAGCCCTGCTTTCAAACTCCAGCCCCTACAATTAATCAATCAGTCAGTAAATAAATATTGCCTCATTTTTCTTTTTGGAGAAGAAGGAAGCTGTGTCCCATGGCTCAGATGGCTGCATCTGCTACTGTGAATTTGGTGTGATGGGATAGAAATTTTTAGTGGGCTAAAAAATAGAAAAATATTTAAAGACAGATAATAAGGAGGAGATTTAACAGCTCAGCTTTTCTAAGGAAGTGTGTCTTAACAGCTTTGTTTTAAAAAGTGTCTTAAAATTTGTAAAATTAATTCATCTATTGTATTTTCTCCCATTATATTTTTAAAAGAACTGTGTTTTTTAGTATTACATTAGGAAAAAATATTCTTCTCAGTGTCTCCAGCACTGTAAAACAAATGAGAACTTCAAATCAATTTTTTTTCTCTTTTTAGAAAAATTTACTGGGCTAGGGGTGTGGCTCAAGTGGTAGAATGTCTGCCTAGCAAGTGCAAGACCCTCAGTTCAAACCCCAGTACTGCAATAAATAAATAAATATATAAAGGTGAAAATAGGGGGACAGGTCCTGCCTGAGGGGGTTGGTACCAGTGGAAGGGGGAAGGAGGTGGGGAAAGGGCATGGGAGGGTGAATATTGTGTACACATGTATGTAAATGGAAAAATGATACCTGTTGAAACTATTCCAGGAATGGGGGTGGGGGGATAAAGGAGAATGATGGAGGTGGTGAATTCAAGTATGATGTATTTGCCAAAAGAACATTTGTAAATGCCACAGTGTACCCTCTGTCCAGCACAACAATGAAAAAAAAAATAATGTGGAAACTTAAAAAAGTACTACCATAGAGTCATTGTGAGCACACTTACAAAGAAACTACTGATGCATTGTTCCATTATGAAGTTGCAGTTCAGTTTCGTGAATTAAGGTTAACCTTGTACTTCTACTGTGTTTAGTCATAATCTCATTCACTGTGTAATAAATGTTTATTCTATCCTTTGCCTGTTGAGATATGTATATAAAACAAAAAGCAGATTCTAAAATACCGCCTGTTCTGGAGTATTGCCTATTTGAAGAAAAAATGAATATTCCTTTCAGTGTGGAAAATACCGTGTTCCTATATGAGAAAATATAGGTTGTAGTTCTTAACTGGAGAGAATAGTTTTGTGCATTAAAAGCTTATTTTAAAGGATTTACTATTTAGAAAACATGAATGGAAGTCTATACACTGATTTGCAGTCCCTTTCATGTATTAGAAAAACTTAGAGATTAAGTAAGTGAAATCGAAGGGCTCTTGCCACCTATGGTTAAAAGAATGCATAAGGTAGAGGAAAGGTGAAATCATTGAGTTACATCTGATATAAATCTTGTTCTGTGGTGGTGGAGTGGCTAACATTGTAGAGTGCCTGCCTAGCAAGTTCAAAACCTGAGTGCTGCCCCCCTCCCCCCCAAAAAAAAATCTACTTTCAAAATCTTGTTCTGGGTTGGTAGTATATTTCAGTAATAGAATGCTTTCCTACTGTGCATGAGGCCCTGGGTTTAATCCAAATTAAAGTTTGTATGCAAGTATATACAAAATTGTTGCAAGTTGTGAAACTGGTCAAGTGCCTAAGCTTCTGCTGGTTTTTCACACTTATAATCTTAGTTACTTGGCAAGCTGAGATCAGGAGGGCTGCAATTTGAGGCCATCCTGGCCAAATAGTTTTTAAGACCCCCCATCTTCAAAATAACCAGAGCAAAATGGAATGGAGGTTGTGACTCAAGTGATAGAGCATCTGCTTTGCAAGCTTGAAGCCCTGAGTTCAAACCTCACTTCCCTGCCCCCCAAAAAAAACCAACATAAAAGCTTGCAAAGTATCTAGAAATATATTCTGATAGGAATTTTTAGACTTCAAAAATTGGTATGAGTGTAAAAATTATATATTAATTAGTTCAAATATTCCTTTGGTTTTTTTTTGGTGGTACTGGGGTTTGAACTCAGTTCCTTGCACTTGCTAGGCAGGTACTCTACCTCTTGAGCCAGGACCCCTCCCTTCAGTCCTCATAGATCCCTTTTTATAGACTGAAGTTAACAAATAACCTAATAGACTTATGCTCTGTATCCCTTTGCCCTGTCCCAAAATCCCAAACATAATTTAGTTGGTTTTTTTAATTGAATAATTTAGGTATGTAATAGGTTTCAAATAAACATTTTGGTTAACCATCTAATTTTCTTTCACAGTTTCTTTCATTTTCTGGCATTGAACTTTGAGCCATTAGAACCATGAGCAACTACAGTGTGTCCTTGGTTGGCCCAGCTCCTTGGGGTTTCCGGCTGCAAGGTGGAAAGGATTTCAACATGCCTCTGACGATCTCTAGTGTAAGCAAACTTTACAGAGTTTATTACAGATGTTCATTCAGTGCTTGGTTCTAGAAATCTCAAGGCTATGTTGTTGAATTCTCTGTTGATCAGTGATTACCATTGTGGGATTTGTTCTCAGCAAAGTTAGTCATCTAATAAAGGATGGGAGAAGGGACTTAGAAAGGATAATTGTTTTCAATATAGCTTGTTTTCAGTCTCTCCCATATTAGCAAAAATAAAATAGAAAAGCACTTAACCAAGGCATAGACTCTTTAAGTTTTTGAATTGCCTCTAATTCGGGGAATTCCCTTGGCCCAGTTTCTTCATGTATAATTTAATAAGGTTGCAATGTAGCACTTTAATGGTACTTTTTAGCTCCAAAAGCTGTTTTATTAAGACTGTTGATCAAGGTTGAATAAAAAGACTGTTTTGGTATTATTTCATCAGCTCACTTTACTGGTGGAGGTAACAGTGAAATGGCCACAACCTACTTTTGAAAAGAAAATGAAGGGCTTGGATCTCCTGGCTAGTAGGCCTACGAATAATTAAGATTTGGCTTTTTATGTCATTGTGGACTTAGTTGGATGTATTCTGTGATTGTATTTTAAGAATATGTTTTCATGATAATGGTGATTCTGATGAGGTGAATAGTTGTAGTTTCCATTTACTGAGACCTATGTGTCAAGCACTGTTTTACTCATCAGTAAGTAATTATTACTATTAATTACTTGTAAATGTTTTTTGCAGTACTGGGGTTTGAACTCAGGGCCTACACCTTGAGCTACTCCACCAGCCCTTTTTTTGTGATGGTTTTTTTTCCATCATAACAATTTGTGAACTATTTGTCTGAGCTGGCTTTTAACTTCAATCCTCCTGATCTCTGCCTCCTGAGTAGCTAGAATTACAGGCATGAGCCTCTAGTGCTCAGCTACTTGTGTAACTTTCTAGAGAAATTTTTTTATGTATATTCAGATAACCATAACTTTTAAAAAATTTTAAACTGATACATAAAACAAAAAATTGTACATAGCAGTGGGATACCATGTAATATTTTGATTCTTATATATCTACATAATGTTTAAATCAGGTTAGACATATTTATCTTTTCAAACATTTATCATTTCTTGTTGGTGAACACTTTCAAATTCCTTTCTTATGATCAATACGAATTTCTACTCTTTTGCTCAGATAGTAGCATATAAATACAGAGTTTCATATCTTGCTTTTTTCTCAACAATTTACCACTGAGAACTTTCCCTATGAATAGGGGGGCTCTTGTTTTGAAAATAACATTTATTTAACCAGTTCCCCACTGAGTGGCATTTATTTTGTTTCTGATACTGCTATTCCAGTGCTGTAGTGAATACCATACAATATGTGTGCACGTATATATATATATCTGTGCATATGTAGGTTATTTTGATGAGTTGTGTCAGTTTACACATTTGTCAGTGTGTGAAAATACCTGTTTCATGTTCCTTCCATTCTAGTTCCAGTCTTAACAAGAAACTTTTAGATTTTTTTAAATTATTATTTTTTTGATGGTACTGGGGTTTGAACTCTGCCTCACATTTGCTAGGAGGTGTTCTTCCCGCTTAAACCACTCCGCCAGCCCAAGAAACTTTTGGATTTTTGCTAAGTGCTATAAATGCATCTTAATTCTTACACCAATCTATAAAATAGTGGTGTCCACATTGTACAAAACTTCTGTGAGTTCATGCCTGATGTATAAGCTGACTTCAAGTAGTTACCATGTGGTGTCCCTAATAATTCACTTTAATGTAAATGTAGCTAGGTTGTTTCTGTAATCAGATATTTAGAAGGGTAAAATTTGGCTTAGTTATGTTTATCTATAAATATATATACACATACTCTGTATTTTACATTATCTATCTATCTATACACTGTATCATATATATATCTCTATTTAAAAAGATTGAAATTAATTTTGTAACACTTGCATGTCCTTGTTAAAATATTACAAAGCTCCTTTTACTTATGGGGTTTCTATTGTTTCTTGGCTGTGGATTTTTTATGTACTCCAGCCTGCAAGTTTTAAAACTTTAACATTTTGGTGAGATTTTGAATGTGAAGTATCTAAAATATGAGTTGTAATTTATTCCTGTTTGAGTGAGACAGTGTTTTTTCTTCTTACGAAGATCTGTTATGAGGACAGAATGTTGTCTGCTTTTGTTTGTTAACACTTTTTTTATAATATTAATTTTAATATGCAAAATACAAAATGAAATTGATTTTTTGACTTCATGTGTTACTACCTTAATAATAGTGATTTTAAGGTACAGATAACATTTAAATAAAATTATTATTGAAATGAAAATAAGTGTGTCTTCCTTTATAATGTTAAAATTACCAGTTTTGTTAATAAGATTGTTAACACTGTTGATTACTAGTTTACTACTTTATTTTAATTGACCAGAGGAAGTTGTTGCTTTGTTTAAAATACTTCAGTTTTTGCTGGATAAAAGTCCAGAAACAAATTGACATCTAAATGAAATAAATGTAGTCATTACTTTGTTGTTCAGTAATGTAAACAGTATATGTAAATTGTGTGGTACCATGCCTTTAAAAAGTATTTTGTGCTTCAGTTTCCTGGCAGACAGTTTGAGGTGCTAGCTCCATGTTGAGATGCTGATAGAATGGAACACTGTGTACATACATGTGTGCCCTCCCCTGGCATACAGAAATGCTTTCCTTGTGTAGACAGAGTGCTAATTAAAGGATTTTGAACATACTGATTAAAAGAGACTATGGTAACAAGCTGCTGAGTTATTTCTGTTCTCTTACAAAAGTCTCTGCCATCTCCTGTGACCTTTTGGGCCTTGTGCAGTGGGGCATGCAATTCACTCTGGACTGGAGAGGATTGGAAGGGGAGGGGGAGGAGAGAAGGGAATGTTGGCTCAACTGGAGGGCTAGCTGTTGGGTTTTCATTATAGTTATTTTTAACCCCTTGTGTGGTTTAGTTTAAACATGTCTAGTAACTTTGCCTAATGAAGAGTTGTGCCTAATCACTAATTTATATTGTGATAGAATTATTGTTACAAATGTTTAACTTACTCTAATTTTAATTAGTTCTCTGGTTATACTTATTTCACTAAATTATTATGTAAAATTACTGGGATTTTTTTCAGTGATCACACTTTAATTAACAGTGTCAAGAAGCAATTAAGAACAGAAAGCATACCTTAAAACATGTAATGATTTTCATATTTTAATGATGCATATGAAATCTTAACAAGGTTTGGCAACACAGTATTCTCTCAATTGTTACCTTTTATAATAGTGTAAAATTAAGAGGAACATTATTTAAAGACTTGAAACATTAAATCCCTTGTAGTTGTAGCAAACATAGCAATTATAATTTTACTTATAGTCCATTAAAATTGAAAAAGAAAAAAACCACATGTTTGTGTTTAGCTGGGAATCTTTACCTCTTATTTTTGTGGTTCATAAGTATGTATTGTTTTCCTTTGGTTGATACTACATTGAACTCCAAGCAGCCATTTGTATTCCTTTATAACATTGAATTCAAACCACTGGCAGGGACTTGATTTTCTCAAGATTTTGTCATGGCAGCATATGAGTATGCTGAATATGACTTATTTCATAGAAAAATACAAGCCATAAAATTTTAACATTCATGTTTGGTCATCATCTATATTGTATGAATTTTGCACAATAGTTTTGGATTTCTAAGAGAATTGGCAATTACAGCTAACTTTAAAAAAATCCTCAGATTGCTGTAACTGCATGATCAATGTCATTGTCTTCAGTTTCTCATCCTTAAAATGGAGTGCTGGCTACAGGAAGTTTGCAGGCTGTCTTTTTTATGACCCTGTGTTTATGGGAATTGCCCTGAAGCCATGGAATGTGGGGATGGGTTTCATTGTAGCAGTGTGGGTTTGTTGGTCTTTGCCAGTATATTTTATAAGAAGAAATAGGAGACTTGTTACACAATTCAGGGCTATATTTTGGCAAGTTTATGTTCCTCATGATGGAATTACAGGAAGGATTATATATTTGTAACATCTTTTAAATTCAGTACGTAGAAGTTGTGATACTGTGCTGTGCATTATTTTCTGATGTATAGAGATTTCCTAAATTCCTAAAGATTTCTCACTTTCCTTAAAAATATTAGAAGTTCCTTTAGCAGGTAAGAATGAAGTCAGACTTTTTAATTCTCAAATAGTAATGACATTGTTTCTAAGAGTTAGGGATGATAAATTGTTACTAAGTTCAGACAAAATTTTAGTTGGATTTGTAAAGCAGAAGAAATTTATCATTTCTTGGAGTATGGAGCCCTGTCTAGGGCTATAACAAAATAAAGAAAGAATTGTGAAATGTTGGCTGTGAATTCATTTATTCACTCCTTATAGGAAGCCATTGAAGAAGATAGAAAGTACTGTGGAGTGCAAAGGTTGGGTAGTAAAGAAATAATCATAGAACTAACTACAGTACAGACAGTGTTGTAAGACCTGTCACAAGACAATATTTGATGAAATGGTGAAACATAACTGGTAAGCGTTTCTGAGTTTTAGTGGGCATAAATCTTTTGTATTTGTTGGGATTGGTTTCTCTCAGAAGAAATTAATTGAAATAATCCTTAAAGGATGGAGTTTGAATATTTCCAAGTCAACATTTCTCTGTGTTAGCATTTGGTGAAGATGAAGATTTTTCTTGCTATTGCTTGGCTATTGCTATTGCTGTGAATATATTTGAATGATTCTCCAGACAAGGCAGCTGCAGGTCCCCTCTTGGAGGACAGAAAGTCTGTCAGTCTGTTAATCTGAAATGGGAGAACTATCCTACCTGGAATAAATGGGCCCATTGTTAATTTTAAGCTGTTGAGTGTTTTCTTTTACATTCCCTCCCAGCTCTCCTGTCACTATGCCAAGGTAGAAAGTTAATTTAGTTTATGTAACCACATAATGTATATTTCACATGTACATTTATTCTCTGCTTTTAAAATACTAATTACCTTTTGTGTGGAACTCAAGACC